ATACGAATGCTTTTTCGATCCGTTTACGACTGTTCGTAGGCGATCGACAATTTCAAGCGAAAAAGTACTCGAAAACGAATCGTAAACGGCTGTCATAAACGACTTTTTAGCCGGCTTTTCTTAGAGGAAATATCCAGTTTCGAGTTCGTTTACGATGATTTTACTGGCTGGGACTAAGACAGCCCTCTTGTAAAATTTAGGTTTTCGCTGCATTCTATTTAACTTTTCTTCGCTAGATATTTTATAAATATGTGTTTTAATTTCATGAATATTTGTTAAAATATGTTTTAATATATACATATGNCTATTAATACATACATACATGTGTATGTATAATGCAGGACTGTAAATGCACAATTTTCCAATATGACGAAACTGAAGATGAATGGCAAAAATACGCTGAAGTAGAACATAATGCAGAAGCACGCGGCATAGTTCTTATGGAAGACAATATTATTTACATTGGCGGTTACCAAAATGGCAAAGCAATTAACGGTGTTAAAAGCTGGAGCTTAAAAACGAAAACGTGGAGGACGTTGCCTTCAATGATTCAGTCAAGATATTGGCCAAGTGTTGTACTATTAAATGGAAATGTATACGCAATTGGTGGACGTAGCTCAGATGGAGAATGTACAAAGTCTGTGGAAAAGTAAGTATTTATGAAAATCTGAAGCTTTTTTAATATTTCATAACGAAGCAGATAATATTTTGTATTCTTTAGTATCAAAGCAAATCCTTTGAAATAAAGTATCCAATTAATGTATTTAATGGCCCAATTTTGTATGGCGACTGATAGCCGATGGCCAACCATATACAAAAATTCGCATTACGTACGGCAACTGGCTACTGACCGTCGGCTACTGTGTATAGTAGCGCAATTTTCTGTTTCACGCTTGTGACGATTTTGTTATTTTTTTACATAATTTGTTAAACGCATTGGAGCAAAGTTGCCAATTACTTCAAAATGTACATACATGTCAAAAAAAAGTAAATTCGGATGCTCTCTGCGTTTTTCTCTATATACTGAGATTAATAGCTTTACATAATACAAAGTACGATACTGGTAGCCACGGCTACTAGACCATAATAATAAATATTAAATATTTTGCAAGTAAAGTAGTCTAAGCTCGGTCAAACCCCAACTATATATATCCGTTGCTAGCTAATTAGAAAATGGACATTTTTTCCAACTTTGTCTGTGTAAATTAGGAGGCTGCTCAAATGGTTTTACTTTTACTGTAAGTATTGCACACTTCTGTAAATGCAGTAATAAAGCAAATGCACTTGACAATAAATGAAGTGATACTCATGGTTTGCTCGCAATCAAAACAAATGCTGTATTGTCGCTGCTGGCTATCGGTACTGCCATAGCAGTATTTGTTTAATGGTTTTGAATAAACTCAATTTTTTTTGTTAATTTAGTTAAACTATACAGAAGTTTTTTGTGCATAAAATACTATAAAGTGAGCGTGAAACGGGAGAGTTTTAAGAAATCTCCAGCAATAACAATTAAAATATTTTTGAGGTGCTTGAAAAGGGTGGCCACGGTCACCTGTTTCAAACGTTAAACTCAAACTATTTAAGCGAAACTTATTACTTCAGCTGCGACATGTTTGCGATAAATATTTAACGTCACGGTAAAGGTGGTATATGGCGGGTACAGAAAACGAATTGCTGCCATTGGGAGGGAAACGACTAATGCAAAGGTGGGAATATAAACAAAAACAAAGATAAAGATAAAGGACGCGGTCAACCGCGAAGCTACGCAAATTTAATGTTTGAAAGAGCAATAATGTCAATGGATTTTATTTCGCTTTTGAAAAGGCAATAATGTCAATTGGCTTTATTTCGCACCAGTATGCAAAATAGTGTCAATTGACCCTATTTCCTTTGATCTTGCTACCTGCCTCCAAACGCACATGGCTGTCCAATATAAATGGTTCCATATTTCTTCGTTTGCAACGACTGTAACTGAAGTAAATATAATTGAATACGTTGCTAAACACGTTTGTTTGAGCAAAAAATTCATTAGCATTCTATATGTTAGTGAAGAACAATAAAATAATAAATTTTAAGTTGGCTGTACTATCCAGTTATGAAAGCATATTGAGTGCAGATTTCCGGCTAGTAAATGTGGTCGCGCGCCATTTTAGTTTTTTTGTTTAAAAAAACCGTGTCATCTAACCAAACTGCTTAGCTTCACCTCAACATGACATTTCATAACGCGTCGCGATTTAGTCCGCAGTGACCAATGACCTTTGGATCAATCAGGACGACTGTGAGGTCTCAAGATCCTTGTGGCCGAGACTCAATAGGAGTCGTACTGAGGAACTACTGACACTAAATAAATCTGCTGTTAGGGCTGTTACCGGTGTCATCACGGGGCACTGTGCTATAGCACCAATGCTCCACCGATGGCGTATACCAACAATCTCCCTCTGCAGAAGTTGTCGGCATGAGGATGAAGAAGAATTGATTCACAACTTATGTCAATGTCCAGCTCTCCAGACAAAGCGTCTCAAGCATTTGGGATCACGCTTTTTCAATAGCTTGGGGGAGATAGCGGAGGTGAATATATCGAACATCCACAGCTTCATCCGGGATAGTAAATGGGTGGATAGACTTTATACTTACGCGCGCACTGCTAACCACTACAACCACAGCAGCCTCCTCTGCATTGGAAAGACCAGGTGGAGAAGGACTTGGCTTCACTTGGCGTTTCCAATTGGCGCCAGTTGACACAGAAGAGAAATGACTGGTGTGCTGTTTTGGAGTCGGCCAAAATCGCTTAGCCGGTTACAGCGCCAATAAAGAAAAAGAAGAAAGTTGGAAACACGATGTAGAAAAAACAAGAAGGTATCCAATCCCTGTGGAGGGTTCTGGAGCGGCACTCGGTTGAAAAGGAAGATTGTACCCGCCTTTTCTTATACAGTAGAACAGCAATTTTTGGGTGTCAACCAAATTAAATATGTCCAAGCTTTATTATCCATACGTGGTAATCAAAATCCAAGAGGTTTTCGATGCTCAGCCTAATTATATTTTTTTGCGTTGGGTTACAGTTTAGACTTTTTTGCTATATTTGCGTCAAATTCCCTTGTAAAACATTGTGCTTCTGAGAGCCAGATACCTATGCATGTATATTTATCAATTACATCAAAAATTTAAATACCAACCCGTTTTTAGGTATTCACCCGGTAGCGAATGGGAATTAGTTAGCAGTATGATTACGCCACGAAGTGAAGCTGGTGCCGTGGCTTTGAATGGCAAAATTTTTGTTATGGGAGGCTTTAATGGAAACCGTTTAAAATCCGTTGAATGTTACGACCCATCTTCGAATACTTGGACACAGTGCGAGGATATGAATGAAGCTCATAATTGGCCTGGGGTAAGTACAGAAAGGAAAAATCAAAGTATACAAATGTATTTACGTATTTACGTACAAGTACAGGGTGGGCCAAATAAGACCTACCATCAATAGTTCATAGGTCCATAGTTTGCCTAGCAGTGTGCGCAGTCGCTCCATCTTGTTGGAACTACAAATTAGGATGCTGCTCTGCCGTTGGCCGCAACAAGTTGTCAATCATTGTTCTGTAAGAAGCCCCAGAAATCGTTTCTGGCGTTTCGCACCAAACAGTGCAACTGGATTGGTGTAACTGGTGCTGGTGTGTTGCCCTTGGATTTTCAGAGCCCCACAATCTACAGCATTTCTTGGAAATGCGCTTCATCCGACATCAAAACATTACCTAAAAAATCAATTTGTGTGGCTAATTGTGTAAAATGAATAGCGTATTGTAGTCGTTGTTGGTGGTCCTGCTGTAAGTATCCATTATGATTTTGCAAGAGATTAACTATAACATGCAGAAAGAAAATAACAATAATATTAAAAAATAAAGAAGTTAAACGTGTTTAACATTGGTAGGTATTATTTGGCCCACCCTGTACATGCACATGTATATGAAAATAAACGATCCCACCCGACCCAGAAACTTATGTTAGCCGATTTTACGAGTTTACGATAGTTTCTCATATCCTCAAGCTGTGCCTCACCTAAGAGTCTCGTATTTCAAACAGAAGTTTGTATTTTTGCTTTTGCATGTATCGAGTATTTATTTATTCATTTTATAAGTTTTCTCTTACTTTCTTCGGACAAAATATTCGAAAAAGTATATAGCAGGAGGCATCGCTTTAATAAAAATTTTGTTAGAACTATACAAAACAACTAAAAAGTAAAACATTAAAAGTAAGTAGATGTAATTTGAGCATAAATTCATATGTAGGTATATGTACATTAGGATGGTCCAAAAAAAAAGTTAAGTCGACATTTTGCCGCCCTCCCCCCTAGGATTGTTCTATACCGAAAAAATTATACCCCTGTTTTTTCTTTTATTTTGAAATCAAAAAATATTTAGAGGTCGTTCAAAGCGCTCAAGATTTTCCATGTATTTGATATGGCTAATAAAAAAAGTTTTCGTAGAAATGGTATAGAATTTTTGAAAATCAATATTTTTTGGTCGGAAAACTTCGTTTCTCTTCAATAACCAATAACAGGGACGTGAACCGGTTTTGAACCGAACCGGTTTTGAACCGGAAAACCGCTTTTTTCTATTAATTAACTGAACCATTAACCGAACCGAAATTTTCCACAAATGTTTGATCCGAACCGAAAACCGAACCACTTCCCATAAAGGTTTAAAGGTTCGTTTCAACCAATTTTCAATTGATAAATGTACCCACTATTTTTTGTTTTTGTTAAACATGGTAATACCTACCATGTTTTTTTACCATGTGAGAATATCAATGGGTTGCCTACCCATCTCATTTGACAGACCGCTTAACCTTGCGCGTTGTTGCACTTGACACTTAAACTTGCGCGTTATTTTTTTTTTTGTTTTTCGAACCGTTGAACCGAACCGAACCCCCGGTTCAAAGACCCAAAAAACCGCTTTGACGAACCAATCCAAAAGTGCAAAAACGGTTCCAACCGCTGAACCGAACCGACCAAATTTTTCATCCGGTTCACGTCCCTGGCCAATAATAATACCCAATTCTTTAATATATAATTTTTTCACAAACTGAATATTTACTGTTACGGAAAAAAGCAAAATGAATTTTATCGTTTGCTTTGTTTGCACATTTGTGTTACTACAATTTTATCGCAAGCGACACTGTGTGTACACAACTTTATTGTAAATAGCTGTTCGAACTGTACTTTTAACTAAAGTTCCATCGGCACTTGCTACAACTGAATGCAAAAAAATCAGCTTCTTTCCCTCACCAAAATTAGGTGCAGCTGCAATCACTAAGTGCAGCGTGGCTCGTCTAGCGGGGTCTTTTTTGAAACTCGTGCTTTGTCAATGGGTTATAAGATTTAAAAGCGTACCAGAAAGTTGAAAAACAAACACCTAACGGTGCTTATATTCCTATTGTATGCACTGGTATAGGAAAAATTGGAACTGAATTCGAAATTGCCATTTTAACACCAGCTTATACGGCCTTATGGATTCACANATATTCCTATTGTATGCACTGGTATAGAAAAAATTGGAACTGAATTCGAAATTGCCATTTTAACACCACCAGCTTATACGGCCTTATGGATTCACACTTTCGAAATTATTTCATTTTACCGTTTATCTCCTTTCAAATTGCTGATCAGATTTTGATTTATCACTTTTGCTTATCATAACATTTGCACTTCAGTCTTTTTTTATATAAAATTTCAGTATTTGATTAAAAGTTTTCGTAGGTTTAAAACGCACGACGAGTCGAGGAATATAACAACAGATTTCGAAACTTGCCAAAAATCTCCCTAATATGAAGATTTTGGCACTGAACGTATTCTAGTCAAGGATTAAGTTTTACTTTTTTCTGATTCTTAAAAAAAAGACGTGAAAAAATACCAAATAGTAGCGCCAATGTGGTCGTTTTAGTTTGTAGAGAATTGAATGAGCTAAACTCTGCATTCACAAAGACAACTTGTGGACAATCTAGTAGATGCACCAAACAGTTAAAGTTGAAAATATGTTGAGCTTATTCTGCTGATTGACAATGTTTATATTTAATTGACTTAAAATTCAGTTTTTTTCAAAAAATCCTGAAAGTACCGGCACTCCTTCGTTTATAGATATCCAAATTATACAACATAAAAACTATCGCAAGCGCCAATTCTTTGATAACTTTCCTCTCAGCATGTTCAGGAAAAATATCGTAAGCGCCATTTTNATATCCAAATTATACAACATAAAAACTATCGCAAGCGCCAATTCTTTGATAACTTTCCTCTCAGCATGTTCAGGAAAAATATCGTAAGCGCCATTTTACCTTTAGAAAATAAGGTATGCAAAAAATAAAAAGTCCCATTAGGAAGCTCACATTCAGTAATGTTATTGTTCATTTAAATTCAATTTTTAATTTTTGCACTGTTTAATGGAGAATTAACAAAAGGATCAGTCCAGCGC